ACACACGCCCCTTTTCCTTCGACGAGTTCCTATTTTCCTTTGCAATAAGTGTCCATTTTCCATTCTCATTAGTGTCCTTTTAATCTCTATTATGTTCCCCTCTTACCTTATTAACTTGTCTCTTTTCCTCTCCGTTTCATAGCCTTCTCATTTCTGTTAATTTTACTATGTTTCGCCCTTCTTTTTTTTATCACTCTATTTCACTCTTTCTTTTCTTCCGGTCAACTTTTTAGTTTTCCCATTTTTCTCTCTTGCATAATTTTTTCTGTTTATCTTTATTGTGCCTCCCAACCCTCATTTTCCTTTTATATGCTCCCTTCTCCTCCTAGCTATCTTTTTTTCCTTTACTATTTCATCTGTCTTCCTGTTTCTGACGTTTTCCTACCTTGTCTCACGGATTAGTATACGATACATGTTAGTGGAAAGTGCTGAGGTTTATATACACGAATATAAAGTACAGTAATTACCTGATGTACACTGAAGGTAAGTTGTGTATAAAGCAATTGGTGTCAGCAGGATAAGATTTAACGATTGTTGCAGCTTGTTGCATCGTTCTACCAATGCCCTTATAACCCTAATAACTATTTACACGATTACACGATTCAGAGCGACATTCTTCAATCGTGTAAATTTACACGATTACACAGTTACACGATTGTTGCATCTGGTCGAATCATCCGACCAATGCACATAACTATTTACACGATTACACGATTCAGAGCGACATTCTTCAATCGTGTAAATTTACACGATTACACAGTTACACGATTCAGGTGAATCGTGTAAACCGTGTAATCCTAAAAATAAATCGTGTAATCGTGTTGCGGAGATTTTCGGCGTGTACTGTACAAACATAACGAATGAACAAATGGTTGAAAGAATATGAACATGGTGAAAAGAAGAAGAAAAAGAATATTAAAAATGAAGAGGAAAAGGAAGAAAAAGAAAAAGAAGAAGAAGAAGGAGAAGGAGAAGGAAAAGAAGAAGAAATGATAAAGAAGATGTCAGGGCTAGTATGAAGGCCTCCTACCTTTTTTCCTTGAAGTATGTGGCCGCACCTTTTGTTCATTCTGGAAAAAAGCAAATGTAGTGACACTTACATCCAGAGCAACATTCACATTATTCCTACCGTAATACCACCCATAACGCAATAAGCTCTATCATAAACATGATTAACTTATTGATCCCGTCATTTATCCCTCGAAACGCAAACTTTTAAAAAATGGAGGAAGACATTTTTTTTTATGAATTAGAATATAAGTAGGTCAGGAAAAGATCCCTCGCTTTTCTTCCAAAAAGTCAACCGAATATCGCGGGGTTTATTTTTCTTGGATCTTCTTTTTAGTTTCAGTGAAGAGTGTAAGAAGTCGACGAAAGTATGGTCCTTTCGCTCTTGTTGAATGTGTTATGTGACGGGCTTCGGGGAGGGGGGGGGGGAGGAGGAAAAGGGTTAGGGGAGTACAGTTTGGGGATGTGACACCCCTTTTAAAATTTCCATCGACTAATCAGTAGTAAAAGGTTAAGCCGTTTTATATTTTCGCTATGTGTCAACAAACTAACACATTTGGAATTTTGAAGAAACTTGTTTTAAATATTTGAGCCAAAACAGCCAAAACACCACTGACTTGTTCTAAAAATTGTCTAGAAATGTTGGCAATCTGGCAAAGTCAGTCCGAAAGCCACACACCACCCTCTCCCGGGTAACATTTGAAATGTTCTAAAGACATCTTCGATTGGCGTAAAGAGATAGTTTGTAAGTTGTAAGTTATGTTCCGTTAAATAACCCATATACCCTATATTCATGATTATATATAACATTATAAAATGCGTTTATTACTATCTCTTTAAAAAAAATTACATATTAGACTTGGCTCTTCATTCTAGAGACGGCATGCTATGATTGCTTCATTCAGCATGATTCAGTAAATGTCTTTACCGTCAGACTCAGTTTATGTACTTTACTTTCATCTCTTTCAGCAAAGCATGCTGCACACAAGGCGTCAACGTCACTTTTTGGCGTAGAACTGCGTCAACGACATGCGTTATCTTTGATGCACGCGCCACGAGGCGTCAACGTTACTTTCAGGCGTAGAAGTGCGTCAACACCATGCGTTATCTTTGATGCACGCGCCACAAGGCGTCAACGTCACTTTCAGGCGTAGAACTGCGTCAACACCATGCGTTATCTTTGATGCACGCGCCACAAGGCGTCAACGTCACTTTCAGGCGTAAAACTGCGTCAACGCCAAGCGTTATCTTTGATGCACGCGCCACAAGGCGTCAACGTTACTTTCGGGCGTAGAACTGCGTCAACGCCATGCGCTATTTTTGATGCACGCGCCACAAGGCGTCAACATCACTTTTTTTGGCATAGAACTGCGTCAACGCCATGTGTTATCTGTGACGCGCCTTGAGAGAGTGACACTGTGCGCAAGGTGGATGCAAAGTACAAACATCGTACTAAATTGACTGGCGCATGCATTAATTGCCTTTATAGGTTTGATTAGCGCAGTTAATAGCGAAATGGTAACTACGCTTTGTGTCCAACGCAGATTATGAATTAATCTTGGAGGGTTGCCTCATTATTGAATTATTAATGTCGTCGCCCTTACTAGCACGATGAAATATGGATTCCTCTCCTAACCCTTCGAGATTGTAAACATCTTATTCGCGTTCCAGAACGTTCTGAAAATGGCAATAAATTCATATTAATGTTCGTTTAAGTTGACGTGTTTTTTTGTCTTCCTTAAAAATGTATGCAGCTAATGCTCTCAGACTGGTATTACATAAAATGCGGCAACCAACATATGTGATGTATAAGGATATGCTTTGTGACTTCACGGATATATAAATCCAATATGTCAGAATAATTATGATGGATGGGAATGATACAATCGTCAACTGTTTTCCCTTTCAGTTGCATTTTTGGGTACTATTTATTCAGCTGAGATATGGGGAGAGAAGTAGACGAGATATTTCACAGAGTGTTGATAGTTTCTTTTTACAACTTGTATATTTTCAGCTCTCTTTTTTAATTCCACCTTCGTGATTGATGAGTGTGAATGCAATAGCTTGCATGATGAAAGACCAAAAGGCGTGCGCATTTTATTCTTAGGGGTGGTGTAAAACCTTTCTTCCTTCTCTCCCTCTCTTACTTATATTTTCTGTCATTTATTTTCCCCTTTTTTCTTTTCCTTTTCCCTTTCTTTCTTTCTTTCTCTTTCTCCTTTTCCGTCTCTCCTCTATCCCTGTTTATGACTGTATGTCTATCTCTCTCTGTGTCGCTCTCTCTCTGTCTCTCTGTCTCTTTCTCTCTCTCTGTCTCTTTCTCTCTCTCTCTGTCTCTCTTTCTCTCTGTCTCTCTCTGTCTCTCTCTCTTCCTCTCTCTCTCTCTGTCTGCTTGTATATATTTTCTAATCTCCCTTCACTCTTTTTCACTATAGTTCTGTCTCCTTGTTCCCTTCTCGCTCGCTCTTTCTTTCTCTTTCTGTTTATTATCTCGCTCTTTCTTTCTCTGTCTTTTATTCTCCTATCCAGTTGTTTCTCAATCTTTTTTCTCCTCTTCTCCCGCTTTCTCCTTCTTTCTGTTCTACCATCCACCACTCACAGTGTTTTTTATGCAAAACACAAGCGATGATTTAGACATATGTAGCTGTTGGAATTCGTGGGTGTTTATTGAATTTGTCACGGGGCTACTTAGTTGGAGAAAGAAAATTTCAGTGTAGGTGATATATTGGAAGAAGGACCAGTATTTTTATTGAGTCATTCAGCAGCCAGCGAGGTGTATGGGACTGGCATCTTGTTGTTCAAAGTCAAGTTGTACATTGAAACCAACCAGGTAAGGAAAGGTGGCGCTTTCATAACTGGAGTTGAAACTGAAAGGAAGTATTTTATTGTGAATCTCAACAAATTTAAATTGCCTTGGAAGAGAGTAAGTGCATGAGTGAGAGACTTATCAGGTGTGGGGGGGGGGGGGGGGGGGGGGTAAAATGGTTACAAGGAAATTAACACAACAATACAACACCAGCAACAAATCAAAACTGATTTGCAGGGGGGGGGGGGGGAAACATGATAGAGTTCAAATTACCATTTAGAGAGGGAGACACTCTTGACTATGGTAACGATCAATGTAGCATGCGTTACACCCAGGCAAATTACCATGGTAGGTGCCTTGACATGCCCTGTTGCAAAAAAAAATATAACATATTCTTATTTTCCCTTATTTATCCAGAAGATATGATTTTATTTGTATGGATTTGATTCTTTTGAAGATGGAATTGATCCATGATTGCTTTGACGTTGTCCGTCTAATGTTGTCCGTCTATATTGTCGACACAATTATTGAGAGGTATCATGTACCGGACGCGTTTGGAAGCTGCTACCGAGTGTTATTGGTAGCTGACCGTAGATGTCGCTGTGTAACTTTTTGATTTACCTTTAATCGAGTGATTGCGATTGTACATAGCGGAGTACGGCCATAACCAAACAAGAATCATTATTACGTACGGCTATTTAATTGTTGTCATCACCATAAAGTATCCATGTTTTGTATCTTATTTTTTGTTTTTTGTAACCTTTGTCTTAGCCATTATTTTACATGTGAGCAAACCAAATATCCATGTTGAATGATATTGGACAGATAAATGCATTGAAGAATATATCGAACTCAAGCAGATGATTATAATGCGCGTCAGCGATTGAATTAGTATACTTTGAATATAATGTGCATACAATGCCCCAGGTCTTATAATGGGGGGGGGGGGGGCATTGTTACTGTGTACCTGTCACAGGTTTTGTACTCCCCCCGGAAAGGAGGGGGGGGGGTATTCAGAATTGGTTTGAACGGGGGTGTGCCGCTCAAGCCTCCTGTGGGCTGGCTGTTTGTTTTCCCGTGACATTCATCACAATAGTAAAAGCTCGTCCATAATTTTATGTTCATAATCTTATTTCTAACTTTTTCTCCCATTTTCTTTTCCTCTCTTTGGAACCTACAGGACAAGAGTGCACGGGACTGGGCGAAGCTTACGTGTTCACGATGCGACCAATGCACTCACTGGACGACCCGGAAGAACTCAAATATGCGGAGCTACACTTCTATGCTAAGAACTTCCTCGCGATTGATAGCCAAGAACACGAGGAGATCCCAATTTCATTCTATTACATCAAGGCCTCAGAGTGCCATCCAATCGGCGTCCAGAATCTGAAAATCCCCAAGAATGGTTGGCTGGTGACAAACGTGACGTCATTGCTCAATCACGTCTTGATCAACGCGACGGAGAGGGTTACCATAGCGATGTACATCGGTGAAGGTGAGGCTAGTCCCGATGCCACGCCCTACCAGGACGGCACGCATGAGAAGCTAGTGAAACCGTTCGTGTTCTTGTACACGGAGGATGTATCGGCGGAGAAAGGAAACGCGCAATCGAATTGGCAGCGATTGGCGGAGAAGTTGGCAAAACAGGAAATGGATACGCTGCTCCCAGAAAGCGGAGTAAGACGACGCAGAAGCGCGAGGTCCAATGACACGAAAGAAACACTCGACGAAAACGAAACGCTCGTCAGCAACGAAGTTGTCGACGTCGAACCGGTAGACAACAACGAGTACCCTCTCAATCCGATCGGGAAAACATTCCCAGCCACGACGCACACAGCGTTCTCGTTTTTCGCGGAGCAGAACATGAGACGCATCAAGTCCAATAGAAGGCGAGCGCGGAATCAGCGTAAAAAGGATAAAAGTAAAAATATGATGCTGGATGCGGAAGAGAAGTCCCGTGCTCGGAAGAAGAAACTGAACAAGCCACGCCCTAAGCATCTCGATATCGGAACACCGACAGAAGCTACTAATGTATGTGATAGGCACTCTATGAATGTCGACTTCCAGGCGATTGGCTGGGATGATTACGTCATTGCTCCAGCGACGTTCCAGGCATTCTACTGTGCTGGCCAGTGTGCCTTCCCGATCCAAAAGGTGAGAAAATGAAGATAGTTGATGACATTTACAAGAAATCAGTCTAAGTGTTTTCATTAAATCTTAAAGACGCAGAGCACGTCTGTGTAAAATATAAAGTAAACCGGTTCGACTTTAATAACGTAATAAAAAAAAAAAAAAAAAATCCTTTGCTCATCCGCGAATGCATGTAGGTCAAGTATCCGATGGATATGTATTTAGATTGAAAATAATTAGTTCTTATTTAGAAGATTTTAATATAAACCTGAGGTGTCCATTGAGTCGTTGACACTATACAACATGTGTATACGAGCTTCCATAATCAGTCGAGACCCAATAGCGAGGAAGCGCTACTATTGGCGATAGCGGAAAATCAACATTGGTCTCTGTTAATACAGATTCTAATCATTTCCCTTTAAAGTAGATTCACACATACAGGTGTGGTGTTGATGTTTACGTAGAAGTTTTTATATTTAGCTTCGTTCATACAAGAATGATTTTATACTTGATCGTGATTTTCTTTCAATCTTTTTTTTAGGAACTTCATCCATCTAATCACGCCCTCATTCAGAGTATTATGCACTTGCTTGGTGTCCAAACGGGGGTGCCTACCCCATGTTGCGTCCCGGACAAGATGGAGCCATTAGTCCTTCTCTACATCGAACAGGACTCTACCGTCACACTCAAGAAATACAGTGACATGGTCGTCGAATCATGTGGATGTCACTGAGCCTCAACCGCTCCTTAAAACGGCAGCGCAAAAAAACTCTTTAAAATCGATGAACTGTGAAAATCGTTTTTTTTTTAATAATTAAAAAGAATTGTTTGCAAATAATTTAACACTGACATAATGAGTTTAATATATTCATTGGCACTATTAAAAAATGAGGATATTAACGACGTTTGGAGAGGAAATTCAAATCAACCACCAACAACGATGACAACCTGTCAACTAAGCTGAGATTCTCGTCAAGAGTTCATAGATCACGCAATGTCGAATGGAAGAGCGACCTCTATCATCTCTGAGCGTTGATAGAATGTTAATTATGACTGAATAATTCGCAGAGTGAGTTGAATGGGTGTTTTATAGTTAATTGCAACTCAAATTAGGGACGAAAAAGCAAGAAGTCATATAAGTTCTTACTTTTTTCTTCCTATGATTCTTTGTATGATTTACATGCTCCAAGCGTATTGCTATAATTCAAACAAAATGTTTTGTTCCTCACTAAATGTTAGAAATGAGGAACAGATAATTACTTTTCAGGTATACCACAAAAAAATGTTAGTTGATTGATTAAAGATATCGACAAGATAAAGTACTCGAGTTGCAAAAATCTCTGCGGGATCAGATAAAATGGAGTGTATTATGGAAAATGTATACTTTCACTAGTCTGAGTTGCCAAGTTATCATTGAATAAGATGGAAGTAAACCTCTCTTTAAAAATGAAAGGCGTATGATCAGATGATAAAGAAACAAGCATGATTATCATTTATGTTTGATCTAAGTTAACCTACACGTTTTGTATTCATAACTTTGCACTTTTGGACATAGATGGTGTTGGGTATTACTTCAATGGGATTGACAAGAGAAATGTAATCTCTGCAGAAAAATGGGAGAAGTTTTTTTATTTGTATTTAATCTGCACTTGCAAGCTATTTAACGGATTTATGTATATTTGTATTTCATTCGTACAAGAACATAGAGCATGTTTATAAATATGTATCGTTTTATCTCTTTACAGTTGATGTAATATATATGACACATGTAGATACGTGAAAAGGAGATTCATCATTTTTCATGAATTTCGTATGACATGTTTTTAAACCCTGTTATGAAGTTACTGCATACATGTAGCTATGTATGAAACCAGAATAATCGGAAACTTTAAGTCATCCTTTAAAGGTTTTTTTAATTTCATTTTGAGCTTTTGGCAAAAATCATGTATATTTTAAAAAATGTAAAAATTTCCAATGAACGTCGAACACACAGTTAAAAAGTTAATTTAAAAAAGTTTTCCCACATGTACCCGCGTCCATAATATATATTTTTTAAATGTACTATTTTACACTTTTGATCGTCTAAAAATAGATTAGGCACACATTTACATTTACACTTCTGTATGAGTATGGTGTTTCTTACTCGGCTGTTATTCAGATGAAATCCCAATCGTCTTGTAATTCTTTAACAAAGATCCCGTTGTTTTATTTCAAATCAAATTCAATTCAATTTTCAAGCATTATCGTTTTGATTAATTATAACTTGTGTCCTTTTGTGAAGGTCTTGGCATAATTTATCTATACCAATTTATAATTATTGATATGAATAGCTTGCAAACCTCTGTCGCAATCTATTTTTGTAAGTTCATTTTCATTGTACATTACTTTTGTAAGTTACATAATCATCTTAACCAAGCTGTCACATTGTAACTAACTAACCGTTATATATATATATATTAAGGAATTGACCATTGTTTTTTAAGCGACCTAAAACTGTAACTAGATTAAAAAAATAAATAATGTGATTTATATATATATATATTACGTATACATAAATCGGCACTAAATAACATTTATGATCACCAACGTCTCCCTGTATACCTGTAATGATTGGCTAGAAGTTAACTTTCCCGTAATGATTATGTGGATCAATGCTTTAAAGGTACTACAGGTGTATGTCCCATTTGCAGGCCAACAAATGAAAAATTAAAATTCCAACGGCATTGAAAGAAATACCTATTTAGAACTTTCCTCAAAACGAAAGGGTTTGAAAATGGCTTTTTGGGGAACATAACGACCATTAGTTTTCGAACCGACATAAGTGATTGTAATTACCTAAGTAATGGTCTGATTTTCAGACCCTTGTACCGAATGGTCGTACGTTTTATGCTGTACAAAGATTCAATTAGTTTGATTTGGGCCATTACAAGAAGTGGGTTATTGATGTAGACAAATGCTCATGTACCCTTTACAACTCATGTATGTAATTTCCAAAGAAGATGACGAAGCCAGTCAGTCACTCAATAGTGTCTGACAGGGAAGTCTAGAAAGTAAACGGGTTTCCTTGCATAATTTGAATACTTGGACACTGGTAATGTTTAAATCTCACAGATAGGACATACATGACATAATTATTTGTGATTCCTGCAAAGTTCTACAGAATTTGTTGTTAGCTGCAAAAGGGACAAAGTATCTTTAATATTCAAACCTTGTAAAAGACAACCAAATTTCAACCATTGTGTATAAAGTACATGCAGCATTTTTACAAAATGACGTGAAATGTTTATAGGGTTCTATTTAACAGGTTTGTTATATTGAATACGAACTTGAATATTGTATTAATGTTTGTAAAGTACTGTATAAAGTATTTGGTGTATATTAAATATCTTATTTACTCAAGCACATTTTCATTCTGTTTGTGAAGACTATCGAAGTGTATTACGACATTAATCCGTCCAAACACTTTGGAAACGCATGTTAATTTTCTGAATCTCATGCCTAGATCAACAACTGTTGAAAAGGCCCGGACAATAGGGTGATTTGAATGCCAAACAAGGTAGCAACAACTCCCATCTTTTAACGTCTTTTGGTATGACGCGGCCGGGGTTTGAACCCACGACCTCCCGGTTGTGAGGCGGACGCTCTACTGACTGAGCCAACACTCCGGTATCAACAACTGTTGAAAAGGCCCGGACAATAGGATGATATGAATGCAAAGGCGAACAAGACCAGTGTATTTTGCAACTTTTCACTTTCTACCTTGGGATATCATTTTAAAAAGGAATAAACATTATTTCTAATAATACTAAACAAAACGATGGTTATGCCATGGATAAAGAAATATAATTGACCATACTTGATTTTCCAAATTATTTTTGAGGGGTTTAGAAAATGGAAGGTTAAGGTCAAAACCTATGTGTTGTCACAGCTAGAGGAGTTACATGATCGCAAGGACTTTCACTAAACTAACCCGACGGTATTTGTCAGTACACCATTGTAATGCCTTAAGAAATAGTGTTCGGATTATGTAATATGCCATAACACTGTTGTTCCGTTTCGATGGTCTGCGAAGGGCTATTGAAAATGCCTTAGTTAGATTAGTTTCTCGAAAGTCTATACGTTTGTATTACTAGTATTAAACTGATTTACTTTTGGGATGGAGTTGATGGGGAAGGATATAAATAGAGAGATGTGGAATAACATGCTCGCCAGAGTTATCAGATAGATAGAGGAAGGGGGAACGAGGAGAGGGAGAGAGAGAGGAGAGAGAGAGAGAGAGAGAGGGGGAGAGAGAGGGAGAGAAGGGAGAGAGAGAGAGAGAGAGAGAGAGAGGGGAGAGGGTCGAGAGCCGGGGGGGGGGGGGCTCTAAACATTCAATTATTTTAAATCCTTCGTTTAATGAGTGTACAGGTAAATGCATTTTAAATAGGGTGTATGGAGAATGACAGAGAGAGGCGGAAAGAGAAAATTTGATAGAGGGGGGTGGGGAGGGGGGAGAGAGACAGGCAGACAGACAGACATAGAAAGAGTACTAATAATCGGGTCTTATTTGTGTAGGGTAAACACAACAGGAAGGGGGTGCACGAAAGCAGATGGTCGGTTTCCAATGCATTAAACACAAATATTATTGTCATCAGTGGTTCAATAAGCAATGAAAGAAAATTGAAGAAGCTCGCTCTCTCTCTCCGCCCTCTCAACCTATCTCTCTGTCCCTCCCCTCTCTCTCTCTCTCTCTCTCTCTCTGATACACACACACACACGCACACACACAAAGTGGCGGATCAAAGATGATAACCACAATTTTACCATAACAAAAAAAAAACACACAGACACATGCAAATCTCCTAGAAAAATGCCCGAATACACAAAGCCACAAAAAACCTCAGGAGAGTTGCATTCATAGCCATGATTGAGAATCTTCCCCTAAACCCTAACAAGGCCGGGGGGCATTATGCCCCCCCCCCCCTCCACGATTTTTCTGATTGCTCGGGAACGCATTTAGATGGGGCCCCGCCGCTAGCTGTATTTTTTCTTTCGAGTCTTGCGCATCTTTAACAAAATATTCTTGAAAATTGGACCTACAGTTACAAGGTCACGTGACATTTTGTCTTTGCATGTCAGCCCGAAACTCGCTCATTTTTGTGCTTTGTGTACAAAACATATGGAAATGCCATTTTTCCAAAAAATTGGTTATTGGGTCTTGTTTAAAGTTTAGGTGGTTGTTTTGGGAGTAAAAATAGTTGAATTGTAGTAAGAAATGAAATAAAACAACAAAAACAATAAAATACATAAGTTTGAAAAACAATGAAATACATAAGAAATTCGTCCCTATTTTCACGAAGTGACGGTAGTGAGGAAAATTGTAACGCAAAGTAAATGCAATTTTTGTTCACTACCGTCACTTCGTGAAAACAGCGACGAATTATCAAAAAAAAGAGATAACATAAGGAATACGCTGGCTCTTCCAAATTTGTTTGTCATATTTTTATTCCAAATGGTCTAATGAATATACACTGTTGGTCATAATGGTGGAATATTTATTTTTACCCCAGTTTAGGGAAGGATTTGTAAAAATTATTTATTTCTAATAGATCTAGATAATGGCATACATTCTCTGATTTTATTGAATACTAATTTGCGAGTGTTTGTTTTGCGTGACTGCTTAATCATATGTGTGCTACTATGCTAATCAGCTAAGGGACCTACGTCCTTAAGTCATAATTGACAGTAATGAGGATTAATGCCTCACAAAAGGGCACTAGTATATAGCTAATCGACACGATTTTTTATCCTGGGGCCTCACAGTAACGAGGCCATTGCTTAGCCCCTGAATCATGACTGTACGCAGTGTTTGCTAGGGTACGCGGCCCCTTCCACAAGTCCCCCAAAACGAAAAAAATGCAATAATTTTTCAAAAATTCATTGCATTTTCCCCCGGCCCCCAACAGGAAAAATTCTTCTGCAGGGTCATGCATTATGGTTCAAGGCATGGCCACACAGAAGAATTTTTCCTGTTGGGGGCCGGGGGAAAATGCAATGAATTTTTGAAAATTTATTGCATTTTCTTCGTTTTGGGGGATTTGTGGAAGGGGCCGCGTACCCTAGCAAACACTGCGTACAGTCATGATTCAGGGGCTAAGCAATGGCCTCGTAATACTGTGAGGCCCCAGGATAAAAATCGTGTCGATCAGCTATATTAGTGCCCTTTTGTGAGGCATTAATCCTCATTACTGTCAATTATGATTTAAGGACGTAGGTTCCCTAGCTGATTAGCATAGTAGCACACATATGATTTAGCAGTCACGCAAAACAAACACTCGCAAATTAATATTCAATAGAATCTGAGAATGTATGCCATTATCTAGATCTATTAGAACTAAATAATTTTTAAAAATCCTTCCCTAAACTGGGGTAAAAATAATTATTCCACCATTATGACCAACAGTGTATGTAGTGACAAAGAATGCTTAAATATGAATAATATATGATTTATGGGTAAAAATGTGATTTTATTACCTTATTTGCATAAATTACCATAAATATGCAAATAAGTGAATTTTTCAAAAACTTGAAATTATCATATTATTCTATTGAAATCGCCCTATCGTTTATTTTTCGAATTATTGCTCGCGATCATGTAATATCACGAGGGGTGTTCATACCTACAGAAAAAAGGGTAAGATTCAAAAATCGTTTCTTTTTTTTTTGCTGAAAAGTTCAATAATCTTGGCGATTCGCAACGCAATTCAATTTGCTGTAATTCTTGCGATTTTTCAGAATAGTCGCAATAGCTTGCCGGGCGATGTGTAAAGCCTCGGTCACAAATGCCATTACGAACTGATACGAACGCCGTACTAACCTTTTTCAGACAATGGAAATTCGGGAAGATGATAGAAAAACAGTGAGATTCGTACGAAATTATCGTTTGTTTGTTTGTTTAAAAAATTTGTTAGTTATAATAATACAACACCTACGTGGATCTTTGTCATTTGATAGGAGGATTGTTGGTCACATGATATTTAATAGATGTTCTATTGCACGGGCGTGCATTTTTGGTTATATTCGCCGTGCATTTTTGGTTATATGCAGACTGCGCACCTCTCTACCGTACGCGTATCCCTGCGTGTATCTAACGCGAAGACAATCTGAATGTAATCGAGAAGGCTTGACTCCAACTTTAATTTATCTTTTATATAATGAGTAAAGCATAATTTGTTGATTAACGTTCTATTAGATGTTCTTCGATGTTGTATAAAACAAATAATTAATGTTTTTCATTCATTCAATAGTGCGAATATTTTCATTCGTTGAAAGATTAAAATTCTATTGAACTCATAACCATTCATTATTTGTATAATATATAACATAATATATCAACATATATATATATATATATATATATATATATATATATATATATATATAAAATATTGTCATTTTATTTATTATTTTTCAGCTACTTATCAGGTGTAAAGAATGTTAATGGAAAACTAGAAATGGATCTGTGATTAATTTCGTTTATTTCAGCCGTACTTATATAAATGAACAGAGAAAAACAAACATAGGTAGCGATTAACATCCAGTGAACAGATCAAACTAAATGAAGCTAACATCAATTTCAATAAATCTGTTGTTCTGTATATTTCATATTTGGAAAGCTTAGATCCTCTTCTTTCATTTGAAGTATTCATGAAGTCTTTTATCTACGGCTGATTGTCAACGAAACGGAGTTAAGTCTTTTGTTAATTTCGTTTGTTGATACGGCAGGCATGCCGGTGAAAACGAATTCGTTTAATCAAATTATGGAAATGCAAGCACTACTTTAAACAAACAGAACTTTGTTATTCCTAGCTCATTTTTCCTGAATGAGGTGTCATATGAAAGGGCAGAAACTCAACTTTCTAGAAATGTGATTTTCTTTTTGAAATTCAGATACCGCCCGCCAAACGACTTTTCGGCTTCCTCTCTTCAAATTGATTTTAATCACTCATGCATGAAATATGCATCATATTGAGTTGCATCAAATGAAAGAGGAGGATCTAAGCTTTCCAAATATGTGTCATTTATCAATTATAATTGTGATTAAGTTACGATAAAACACCGATAATTCTCGGTTTCGTTTTATCTGGGACGCACTGTATAACATCAGAATAAACAAGCTGCACAAATCCAAGTTACAACATATTAAGGTAAAATGACATACCTTTATAAATTGGTGTTGAACCGCTGTTCATACAGCAAACTATATATATATATGCACATTATTAGGAAAAAGGTGAAGAGCAGTGCTAAAGATCTAAATGTTCATAGAAGGTAAGAATGTGCTGCAGACAGAATAAGTCTTTCTAAATACATAGCAAAGGCTTCTCGATAAAGCAATATATATTACAAGTTGATGAAGATTTGTTTCTAGAATAATATCGGTGAAGGGAAGTCTAAACTCTAATTACTAATCATTACTTAAAATTGATTGTAGTCTGGCGTTTCATGTGCTTGGGTTGTAACTGAGACGAAGTATACAATCACACGTCATTTTGCCTAAATTTACCTTGTAAAATAAGATTTACTTATCTCCGTTTTGTTTGGATTGAAACTTAAAACGAAAATATAAAATCACACAGCATTTTCATTTTGTTTAGGTTGTAACTAAAATTAAGTCACACAGAAATATTTTTTCTTGTAAAATAAGGTTTACTTATTTCCGTGTAACATGAAAGCATTCAATTAAATTATAACGAGTATATATTGTATTTTATCTGTCAGATAAAATACAAAAAAGGATCAAAACGGTCAACATATAAGACAATACGGTTATAAAGAGATGCTACAGCGTCTTAATACAATGAGATATATATGTAGCAAAACGATTATAATGAGATGCTACAGCGTCTTAATACAATGAGATATATATGTAGAAAAACGATTATAATGAGATGCTACAGCGTCTTAATACAATGAGATATACATGTAGCAAAACGATTATAATGAGATGCTACAGCGTCTTAATACAATGAGATACACATGTAGCAGTGCGATTATAATGAGATGCTACAGCGTCTTAATACAATGAGATATACATGTAGCAATACGATTATAATGAAATGCTACAGCGTCTTAATACAATGAGATATACATGTAGCAATACGATTATAATGAGATGCTACAGCGTCTTAATACAATGAGATATACATGTATCAGCGGAGAAAGGTAACGCGCAATCGAATTGGCAACGATTGGCGGAGAAGTTGGCAAAACAGGAAATGGATACGCTGCTCCCAGAAAGCGGAGTAAGACGACGCAGAAGCGCGGGGTCCAATGACACGAAAGAAACCCTCGACGAAAACGAAACGCTCGTCAGCAACGAAGTTGTCGACGTCGAACCGGTAGACAACAACGAGTATCCTCTCAATCCGATCGGAAAAACATTCCCAGCCACGACGCACACAGCATTCTCGTTTTTCGCGGAGCAGAACATGAGACGCATCAAGTCCAATAGAAGGCGAGCGCGGAATCAGCGAAAAAAGGATAAGAGTAAAAATATGATGCTGGATGCGGAAGAGAAGTCCCGTGCTCGGAAGAAGAAACTGAACAAGCCACGCCCTAAGCATCTCGATATCGGAACACCGACGGAAGCTACTAATGTATGTGATAGGCACTCTATGAATGTCGACTTCCAGGCGATTGGCTGGGATGATTACGTCATTGCTCCAGCGACGTTCCAGGCATTCTACTGTGCTGGGCAGTGCGCCTACCCAATCCAAAAGGTGAGAAAAATGAAAATAGTAGATGACATTTATAATAAAAGAGTCTAAAATTGTTCATAAAATCTTACACACGCAGAGCACGTCTGTATAATTTATACAAGTAAAGCGGTTCGACTTTAAAGGTAAAGACCAGTTATGGTCATGCGATTGCATTGTGAAAGAAACGTTGTGGAATCGATCAGAAAAGGTTGATCATCTAGCATCTAGCATCTGCAAGGTTCTGGAATCATCAAAATAATAAGAAATTTGGCCCATTCTTTATAAAGTTACAAGCACTATACACAGAAAGATGTATATGGGACTACCCTATATCTCTCACAGACCATGAGAAAAACAAATTTACCAAATATATGAATTAGTAGGCGGTTTCCGGCAATTTTTTTATCATCATGTATTAGTCAAAACATATTCTTTCACATGATTGGTAATGAGAGCTTCTATTTCATTTTTTGAAATTGGGGCGTTCCAATACTGGTCTTTACCTTTAATAACGTAATAAAAAAAAATCCTTTGCTCATCCGCGAATGCATGTAGGTCAAGTATCCGATGGATATGTATTTAGATTGAAAATAATTAGTTCTTATTTAGAAGATTTTAATATAAACCTGAGGTGTCCATTGAGTCGTTGACACTATACAACATGTGTATACGAGCTTCCATAATCAGTCGAGACCCAATAGCGAGGAAGCGCTATTGGCGATAGCGGAAAATCAACATTGGTCTCTGTTAATACAGATTCTAATCATTTCCCTTTAAAGTAGATTCACACATACAGGTGTGGTGTTGATGTTTACGTAGAAGTTTTTATATTTAGCTTCGTTCATACAAGAATGATTTTATACTTGATCGTGATTTTCTTTCAATCTTTTTTTTAGGAACTTCATCCATCTAATCACGCCCTCATTCAGAGTATTATGCACTTGCTTGGTGTCCAAACGGGGGTGCCTACCCCATGTTGCGTCCCGGACAAGATGGAGCCATTAGTCCTTCTCTACATCGAACAGGACTCTACCGTCACACTCAAGAAATACAGTGACATGGTCGTCGAATCATGTGGATGTCACTGAGCCTCAACCGCTCCTTAAAACGGCAACGCAAAAACTCTTTAAAATCGATGAACTGTGAAAATCGTTTTTTTTTTTAATAATTAAAAAGAATTGTTTGCAAATAATTTAACAATGACATAATGAGTTTAATATATTCGTTGGCACTATTAAAAAATGAGGATATTAACGACGTTTGGAGAGGAAATTCAAATTAACCACCAACAACGATGACAACCTGTCAACTAAGCTGAGATTCTCGTCAAGAGTTCATAGATCACGCAATGTCGAATGGAAGAGCGACCTCTATCATCTCTGAGCGTTGATAGAATGTTAATTATGACTGAATAATTCGCAGAGTGAGTAGAATGGGTGTTTTATAGTTAATTGCAACTCAAATTAGGTACGAAAAAGCAAGAAGTCATATAAGTTCTTACTTTTTTCTTCCTATGATTCTTTGTATGATTTACATGCTCCACGCGTATTGCTATAATTCAAACAAAATGTTTTGTTCCTCACTAAATGTTAGAAATGAGGAACAGATAATTACTTTTCAGGTATACCACAAAAAAATGTTAGTTGATTGATTAAAGATATCGACAAGATAAAGTACTCGAGTAGCAAAAATCTCTGCGGGATCAGATAAAATGGAGTGTATTATGGAAAATGTATACTTTCACTAGTCTGAGTTGCCAAGTTATCATTGAATAAGATGGAAGTAAACCTCTCTTTAAAAATGAAAGGCGTATGATCAGATGATAAAGAAACAAGCATGATTATCATTTATGTTTGATCTAAGTTAACCTACACGTTTTGTATTCATAACTTTGCACTTTTGGACCTAGATGGTGTTGGGTATTACTTCAATGGGATTGACAAGAGAAATGTAATCTCTGCAGATAAATGGGAGAAGTTTTTTTTTATTTGTATTTAATCTGCACTTGCAAGCTATTTAACGGATTTATGTATATTTGTATTTCATTCGTACAAGAACATAGAGTATGTTTATAAATATGTATCGTTTTATCTCTTTACAGTTGATGTAATATATATGACACATGTAGATACGTGAAAAGGAGATTCATCATTTTTCATGAATTTCGTATGACATGTTTTTAAACCCTGTTTTGAAGTTACTGCATACATGTAGCTATGTATGAAACCAGAATAATCGGAAACTTTAAGTCCTCCTTTAAAGGTTTTTTTAATTTCATTTTGAGCTTTCGGCAAAAATCATGTATATTTTAAAAAATGTAGAAATTGCCAATGAACGTCGAACACACAGTTAAAAAGTTTATTTAAAATTTTTTCCCACATGTACCCGCGTCCATAATATATATTTTTTAAATGTACTATTTTACACTTTTGATCGTCTAAAAATAGATTAGGCACACATTTACATTTACACTTCTGTATGAGTATGGTGTTTCTTACTCGGCTGTTATTCAGATGAAATCCCAATCGTCTTGTAATTCTTTAACAAAGATCCCGTTGTTTTATTTCAAATCAAATTCAATTCAATTTTCAAGCATTATCGTTTTGATTAATTATAACTTGTGTCCTTTTGTGAAGGTCTTGGCATAATTTATCTATACCAATTTATTATTATTGATATGAATAGCTTGCAAACCTCTGTCGTAATCTATTTTTGTAAGTTCATTTTCATTGTATATTACTTGTGTAAGTTACATAATCATCTTAACCAAGCTGTCACATTGTAACTAACTAACCCTTATATATATATATTAAGGAATCGACCATTGTTTTTTAAGCGGCCTAAAACTGTAACTAGATTAAAAAATAAATAATGTGATTTATATATATATATATATATTACGTATACATAAATCGGCACTAAATAACATTTATGATCACCAACGTCTCCCTGTATACCTGTAATGATTGGCTAGAAGTTAACTTTCCCGTAATGATTATGTGGATCAATGCTTTAAAGGTACTAGGCCTACAGGTGTATGTCCCATTTGCAGGCCAACAAATGAAAAATTTAAATTCCAACGGCATTGAAAGAAATACCTATTTAGAACTTTCCTCAAAACGAAAGGGTTTGAAAATGGCTTTTTTGTGGGAACATAACGACCATTAGTTTTCGAAACGACATAAGTGATTGTAATTACCTAAGTAATGGTCTGATTTTCAGACCCTTGTATCGAATGGTCGTACGTTTTATGCTGTACAAAGATTCAATTAGTTTGATTTGGGCCATTACAAGAAGTGGGTTATTGATGTAGACAAATGCTCATGTACCCTTTACAACTCATGTATGTAATTTCCAAAGAAGATGACGAAGTCAGTCAGTCACTCAATAGTGTCTGACAGGGAAGTCTAGAAAGTAAACGGGTTTCCTTGCATAATTTGAATACTTGGACACTGGTAATTTTTAAATCTCACAGATAGGACATACATGACATAATTACTTGTGATTCCTGCAAAGTTCTACAGAATTTGATGTTAGCTGCAAAAGGGACAAAGTATCTTTAATATTCAAACCTTGTAAAAGACAACCAAATTTCAACCATTGTGTATAAAGTACATGCAGCATTTTTACAAAATGACGTGAAATGTTTATAGGGTTCTATTTAACAGGTTTGTTATATTGAATACGAACCTGAATATTGTATTAATGTTTGTAAAGTACTGTATAAAGTATTTGGTGTATATTAAATATCTTATTTACTCAAGCACATTTTCATTCTGTTTGTGAAGACTATCGAAGTGTATTACGACATTAATCCGTCAAAACACTTTGGAAACGCCTGTTAATTTTCTGAAGCTCATGCCTAGATCAACAACTGTTGAAAAGGCCCGGACAATAGGGCGATTTGAATGCCAAACAAGGTAGCAACAACTCCCATCTTTTAACGTCTTTTGGTATGACGCGGCCGGGGTTCGAACCCACGACCTCCCGGTTGTGAGGCGGACGCTCTACTGACTGAGCCAACACTCCGGTATCAACAACTGATGAAAAGGCCTGGACAATAGGGTGATTTGAATGCAAAGGCGAACAAGACCAGTGTATTTTGCATCTTTTCACTTTCTACCTTGGGGTATCATTTTAAAAAGGAATACAAATTATTTCTAATAATACTAAACAAAGCGATGGTTATGCCATGGATAGAGAAATATAATTGACCATACTTGATTTTCCAAATTATTTTTGAGGGTTTAGAAAATGGAAGGTAAAGGTCAAAACCTATGTGTTGTCACAGTTAAAGAAATTACATGATCACAAGGACTTTCATTAAACAAACTCGACGGCATTTGTCAGTACACCATTGTAATGCCTGAAGAAATAGTGTTCGGATTATGAAATATGCCATAACACTGTTGTTCCGTTTCGATGGTCTGCGAAGGGCTATTGAAAATGCCTTAGTTAGATTTTATCGAAAGTCTATGCGTTTATATTACTAGTAACTGATTTACTTTTGGGATGGAGTTGATGGGGAAGGATAGAAATAGAGAGATGTGGAATAACATGCTCGCTAGAGTTATTAGATAGATAGAGGAAGGGAGAGGAAGAGAAAGAGAGAGAGAGAGAGAGAGAGAGAGAGAGAAAGGGAGAGAGAGAGAGAGAGAGAGAGAGAGAGGGGGTCGAGAGCCGGGGGGGGGGGCTCTAAACATTCAATTATTTTAAATCCTTCGTTTAATGAGTGTACAGGTAAATGCATTTCTAATAGGGTGTATGGAGTATGACAGAGAGCGAGAGAGAGAGAGAGAGAACAAAAAATCGAGAGAGGGGTGGGGGGGGGACAGGCAGACAGACAGACATGGAAAGAGAATTAATAATGGGTCTTATTTATGTAGGGTAACCACATCAGGAAGGGGGTGCATGAAAGCAGATGGTCCTTTTCAAATGCATTAAAAATGAAATGTTATTGTCATCAGTGATTCAATAAGCAATGAAAGAAAATTGAAGAAGCTCGCTCTCTCTCTCTCTCTCCGCCCTCTCAACCTATCTCTCTTTCTTTCTCTCTCTCTCTCTCTCTCTCTGATACACACACACGCACACACACAAAGTGGCGGATAAAGATGACAACCACAATTTTACCATAACAAAAAAAAAAGGAAGACGGGGCCCCCACACCTGGCAACAACAAAAAAGTTTTAAAAAAGATGGTAACCACAATTTTACCTTATCTTTTGTTTTGCTCAAGGGGGGGGGGGGGGGGTGGGGATGTTGAATAACAAAAAATAGTGCTCATTACCCCCACCTATTCGCTCTAAATGTCCCCCCCCCCCAATGACGCCTTTAGTAAAATTACATATATACAGTGCGTCCCAGAAAAAACGAAACCGAGAAGTATCGATGTTTTATCATAACTTAATCACAACCATAATTATTGAATGATACATATTTGGAAAGCTTAGAGTCTCTTCTTTCAGTTGATGCTAATCACATGATGCATATTTCACGCATGGGTGATTAAAAGCAATTTGAAGGAAGGAAACCAAAAATTAATTTGGCAGGCAGTATCTGAATTTCAAAGAAAAATTCATATTTCTAGAAAGTTCATTTTCTGCTCTTTCATATGATACCTCAATCAAGAAAAATGAGCCAGGAATAACAAAGTTCTATTTGTTTAAAGTAGCCCTTACATTTTCATAATTTTAACAAACGAATTTGTTTTCACTGGGTGCCTGCCGTAGCAAAAAGCAGATTTGACAAAAGACTTAACTCCGTTTCGTTGACAATCAGCCATGCATGAAGACTCTCGTCTACGGCTGATTGTCAACGAAACGGAGTTAAGTCTTTTGTTAATTTCGTTTATTGATACGGCAGGCAGCCAGTGAAAAACGAATTCGTTTAATAAAATTATGGAAATGCAAGCACTACTTTAAACAAACAGAACTTTGTCATTCCTTGCTCATTTTTCCTGATTCAGGTGTCATATGAAAGGGCAGAAACTCAACTTTCTAGAAATGTGAATATTTCTTCGAAATTCAGATACCGCCCGCCAAATGTCTTTTTGGTTTCCTTCCTTCAAATTGCTTTTAATCACTCATGCGTGAAATATGCATTATCTGAGTATCATCACATGAAAGAGGAGACTCTAAGCTTTCTAAATATGTATCATTCATTAATTGCAGTTGTGATTAAGTTAGGATAGAACATCGATACTTCTCGGTTTCGTTTTTTCTGGGACGCACTGTATAGAGAGAGATATGTGACAAAATTGGGCCTTCTATGAGAAATAAAACGTAAAAAACGTTAAGAGGACAACAAATTGTCATTCTAATGACAATGTCTACTTAATGACTATTTTTTCACTCAAAATGTCCCTGTAATGACGCCTTTAGTAAAATATATTTATATACAAATATGAGTGATTCGTTTTAATACTTATTTATTTATTATTGTTCAGCTACTTATCAGGTGTAAAGAATGTAAATGGAAAAATAGAAATGGATCCTTTGATTAATTTCGTTTATTTCAATCGTACGTATATAAATGAACAGAGAAAAACTAACATAGGTAGCGATTAACATACAATGAACCGATCAAACTAAATGAAGCTAGCATTAATTTCAATAAATCAGTTGTTCTGTATAAACATGTAAAAGCTTTACAAATTATCGATGTATATATGTAGATGGTAGA